AAAAAAAAATCAGCAGTCTGTCGCTATAAAGATTCAAAAGGGATTTACACATTGATTCGTGTCACATGATACAAAAACAGTGGAATTTGCAAGTACAAACCTGAAAATAATTCGTTGGACTAAAGATTAAACAGTCATATCCAGGCCCCATTGGTCGAAAGCAGACATCATCTAAGGTGATACGTCTACCATCTCCTATCACTGCGTTCACACTCAAAATCCGTTTAAGAATGACGAATGCCTTAAAACTCGAACTCTAGTAACCAGCCTAGGCCAACATTAAACTCATACCTCAAGCATAAATGTTTTGTGGAAAACCGATCCCATCTTCATGCCATGTGGTCCATCAACAATCTGTTCGACAGTTTTTGGATACATTATAACCTGCTCTACCCGATAGAAAGGTCTGAAACTCACAAGAGATAGAATTGTTGGTGCGAACAAGAAGAGGTTCAGCTCACCCAAAGCTCTGATCGAAAACCCGTTTCTCTTGGCGAGCAAGGCTATGTGCTGACGTCCACATTTCCAAAGGATCATTAGTAAACTTCAGAAAGACATTACCAGAGATTGAGATCACTGCTATGAAGGAGCCAAAGAGGAATGCAAACCATGCATGTTGGACAACAAACTAAATACCATTTATCAGAATTAAGAGGAAAAATTATAAGATCATTGTGCATAAGCACATTCAGACAACAAAACTTACTCTTCCAAACATCTCCCCATTATACTTGAGCTGCTCCTGAATCCATGCACCCATAGTTCGTATTCGACCCATATTTGTGTTAACGCTCTGAATTACCAAAGATCCTCCACACCAACTATAAAATTTGACCCTAACCTTGTAATCCATACGATCCAGTCCGGAGTCTGTCGTGCTAGTACTATGAAATAAGTGTAAGAAACCCATAAATATAAGTACACCGGCGAAAATAAATAGAGATCCGAACAGTAAAAACACTTTGCATCCCATGCCTAACACCTGACATACTTCCTGAAAAAAAATTTACCCATCGTTGGACTCAAGTTCGTGCAGTAAAAAATGTTTCGCAGCATTATGACTCAAGCGATAAAGTTCAACATTCTATGCAGATAATGCGCTGAATCAGATAGCGATGATTCAATAAACGCCTTTGGTCGCTGTTCAGCATGCAGCAATCGCAACATAAAACGTTCCGAAGAATTCCACCACCGCTGACCCTAACTTCTTATGTGTCATCACAGCCAGTCACCAAGAACTGGGAAAGCGATTGACCGCAAAAAGTTTGCAAAGTCTGGCCCTATTGGACGGATACAACAAAGAAACTAACATTCGCAGCGCATCGCGGATTTTGGCGAAATTCTCCCAAAAGCTTGTATGATTATCAAATGTTGAATATACCCGCTCCCCAAGGTTGTTCAGAGCTTCATATTACATTGCCGTTGGACGATATGAGATAGCTTGCAGACTAGCAAACTTGGAAGAGAAAATTCAATTATGTATATTTTTCTTCCACTGCTATTTTGAAAAAGGCTGCTGACAATGCAACAGATGCGGCAAATGTATTGCGGATCTTTTTCGTGAGTGAATCAAATGATAAAATTAGAACTAACCTTAGTGCCTTCATCCTTCGGAAACAAATCTTCAACTTGGATGGCGGGACAATCTTGCTTGGAACATTTGTCACGACCATAACGAGGTGACATATGGCATGGTGTTGTTGGAGCAGTCATAAAATAATCAGATCCTTTGTCTGGCCCTTGCTGAAATCATGGAAGATATGTATCTCAACAAACTAGGACTGGAAAAATCGCCACACCCAACATAGTAAAAATTCCGATGATCTCGAACGTTTAAGTTATGCAAAATATCTAACCTTTGCATCTATAAGATTGAACTCAATGCCCAGAGGAATGCCAATACGATGATTTTGAGTGCCCATAAACTTCAGCCAATTATCGATCGTACACTCCTCATCCTTCTTCAAGCTACCGCACAT